ATTATTCTTCACTTAAACCCTAATTTCACAAATCTAAATCCACATCACTTATTTACCTATTCTACCATCATCTTCTCATATCACTCCCATTTCCACCATCGCCACCACTGCCATTTGACCTCTTTCTCACTTCTCAGCCTCCACCTCTTCCCTTTTCCCTCTTTTCTCCTATTCTTCCCCCAATTTTATGGGTCTTGTAAATAAGTATTTTTCTTTCTTCCTCTATTTTTCAAAAATCATGGAAATGTGTTCTGTAAAAAGATTTGTTGTAACTAAATAACAAAGCTCAATAGGGCTCGACGTAAATTTGGACGGCAGAGACAAGGCAACCTCTATCTTTCTTGCTAGGGACCTGGAAAAGCCAAGGTGAAGGTAGTTTCCCTACCATCACCCGTTTTCAATAATACTTTGAAGAAATGATTTTTTCTCACCACCACACAAAATCCTATAGCCTATTCCCAAAGCACTTGAATGTTAAAAGATTTTGAAGAGCCATAGCAAACCCATGATAGCATATGTGGTTGATATAGCTACTGAAGTTACTAGTCTACAATCACATCCGAAGCCTCACTCAAGAAGCCCCAGTATAATCATCTCCAAATTATTGAACCTAATGGCTATGCATTACTTGTAAAAAAAAAAGATTTTGTTTTAAGTTTGTTGATTCTTGAGGCTTACATGGCTGATTTTGGAGTTATTGATGCTGTGTATTTCACTGGGTCATTTTGCAAAAAAATTCAATGAGTTTTTGTGTTGTTTTGACAAAAGAAATGAAAAGAAATCACAGCTATTTTTGGCCATTTTGACCACTTTTTGTACAATTTTTGCAAAAAATAATGTTAGAATTGGAATTCATGCAAAAAACCAAGTGGGGGGTAAAAATTTGAGACAATTTGTGAACAGAAGACGGTGGTCTGTGGTGGTGCCGCTGTTGAAATGCACTATGGCAGCTCATGTGAGCTTTGTAAGAAAATGGAATGAAGAAGATTATAGAAAAAGGAAAAAGAAAGAAAGAATAGAGAAAATGGAGTTTTATCAAAACTATGTCATTTTAACTAGTTTGGCATTTGGTGAATAATGGAGAGAAATGGTGGATTAGGAAAGAAATGGGCAATATTAATTGAATTGTCAAATTTGTCCTTAAAAAACTAATCATGTGACTGGCTCGTTATATATTCCAACAAAAATTTGACCCGAAAGGTAACAAGGGACCAAAAGGAAACATTTTTTAAATTGTTAGGAATTAAAATCGATTATTTTGATTTTGAGGGACCAAAATTTCACATCAGTCATATATGAGGGGACTATTGGTCTTGTTAACCCTTTTAATATCCCAGCTTTTTTTTTTCAAATTGATTCCCGTAAAAAATCTACAAAATTCTGTTTGGATGCTGAGTTTTTCATAATCTTTAAATAGGGATAATTTCAGAAACCTCCCTTTAGGTTTTTAATAATTTCACCTAGTTCTCTTAAAATTTGAAAAATTACATATACCTTCCCTGAGTTTACCGTTTCCGTAACAAAAACTATTTAATTGTCAAAATTTTGAATGAATAACCCAAAATGCCCTCATGAAATTGTGAAGTTCATTTTACCTTCTTACAAAATTATTTAAAAACTATAGAGCATGCACAAAATTTCAAACTCATTTTTAGCTCTTATCTCTACTACTTTAACCCTTTTCTTATATCCACATTTCAAATTAGTACTATTATCATCATGACCATTACCACTGTCAATTCCTAAATTCTAAAACCTCAATCGAAATTTAAAAAATTTGTATTGTTAAACTCAAAAAATTTTAATAACCACGTCAATATAACATTCTATCCCTCAACTATTGAAGTATCAATACCAGCCTTATCTTTTTTAAACCCAATTTACATATTCTTCTATTCATATTCAGGTCCTCCAAGAAAAGTAAAATTAATTTTTAATATGTTATTATTATGTCTAGGACATGGACGATTATATCATGAGTGAATTTTATTTTCATTTTCATTAAACGTTTAATTGTGTAATCCATTCATATGAACAAGATTAGAAGTGAATTGTTTAATTGCATAAAAAAATATTAATATGTTAAGACTATTATGATTATTTTGTAGGGTCAAAGGAGGTATGTGTAATATTAAAAATCTTAAGGATGCTAGGTGAAATTATCGAAAGCCTCTAGGGAGGTTTCTGAAATTATCCCCTTTAAATATGATCTCTAATCCTTTTTTTTCAAACGTCTCACACTTTTCAATAAAGTGTTACGGTAAAATATAATTTTATTTAGAAAAAAAGAAGCTTTGCTAGACTACCAACTTTCTCTTTAGTTTCAAGTTAGCAGGTCGACCGACAAGTTCTATTTAGTGTCGGACTCTTTTGCTTTTTGGGAATTGATGGCATGATAACAAGATTGCCCTCAACAGTGTACATAGAAGATGAGAGTAACTTACGTTGAAAGATGTATAATGGAGATAACAGCTGTTGAAATGGTAATTTTCTTTTTTTTTTTTCCTGGCACTATAGAGATAGATAACCTAAAGAGGTTAAACGAGAATTCGGAAAATACTGAACTATCGTCAATTCAGACGGATGCCTATGCATCTATTGACGAAATCTCTTAAAAAATCTGAATTTTTAAGATGTAGGACAAGCTAAAGAGGTTAAAGAAGAATTCGAAGGAGATTGAACCATTATCGATTTCGATGAATGTCTATATACTTGCTGACAAAATCTCCAGAAGTACCTGAATTTTTAAAATATAGGACAGAAAATTTGATCCCTTGACTTATACATAAGTAGAACTTTAAATCTTTCTTGATGAGTAACTACTTGATTGTTGAAATGGTAATCAATATAATGAAATTTGTGACATAAATCTCTATCACTATTCTGGTTGATTTATGAATACTGCTAGCGTAGTGGGAAAAGCAGTCGTTCTGCATACACAAATTGATCGAAAAATCTTCTCCTATGTCTTTGCTATTCGCTGTTGATGTAGCATTCGTCCACTCTAGTGGGAGAAACTAAGTAGTAATAATTCCAATCTTTTCCTATCTTGAAGCAATGCCATCAAGTAAAAGTTAAAACAAATTTTGAAACCCTTTTTCCTTTTTCTTTTTGTAATTTAATGAGAAAAGAATTTAGGAACGTTGAACGATTCAAACTTAACAATAATTATTATTGGTATCACCTACTATCAACAGGTCGTAGCAACTTCCAATACTACCATCACATTCCAAACTACTTGAAATCATTGAAGCATGGGAAGTTAAACAATCTTCGTCTGTCAACTGCACCACCACACCGAGGCCGAATATTCTTCTGTTACTTGGTCATTGACCTTCAACAAAAATAAATTTATTAAATAATGGCTAGTGCCTAGTAGTAGTATTACTATTATTAGAGGTGGCAAAATGGGCGGGATGGGTGGGATTTGCTTGGGTTCGAAATGGAACTAAATCATATGGATTTGGATCTAACCTTACCCATGTATATTTTGGGACTAACTTGGACGGGATCACTTTGGGATGGGTTTAGATTGATCCCGTCTAATACCCAAATTTATTTTCTATATTTTTTTCCTTTAATTCTTTTTTATTTTTTATATAACTTTAATGTTTTTATTTATTAAATTTCTTTTGATCTTATTGTGAATTTATATTTTCCTGAATTCATTTACACTCTAGAACGATCAACAGTTATTTTTAAAAGACATAACATTTTGTCAAGAATGAACATATCTTCTCCCTGGATTAAACCAAAAATTGGATTAATAAATAAAAGAAAAGATAAATATACAACTATATTCCAACCTTACCCATAATGTTGTCTGACACAAGGACTAAAAACAAATTTTTTAACACCAAATTCATTCTTACTGACATTCTTAAAATTTCCAAAATTCGATACAAAAGAAATTCACATTAAATGCTGAATAAAGCTAGCACAAAAACGACGAAGCTGATTAAAAATTGATAATAGGATTGCATATAGAAATCTATGTAGATAGTTCAACAATTAGCATAAAATCAACATAAAGGGTGCCAACAATTGTTAGTAATGCATTGATTCTTGTAGACACCAAAATTTTATCAATTCATTTTATTTTTATTGTTATCTTTATTTTTTTAAAATTGTTTAAATGAAATCATTTTTACTTAATTGGTTTTCTTTTGTAGGAAATTAAAGAAAGGAAAAGAAAGAAAATGGAAGTGAAAAAAAAATTAGAGTTTTGCACAAAAAAAAAAAATCAAAGATGAATTTTTGGATAAATGAAATTTTTTGGAAAGATATTTGGGCCCAATGGGTACCCAAGTATTTCCCAGTATTTTCTATCAAATAATGGGTATAATTGGGATGCATCCCATTTTAAACCCAATATCAAATTACAATACCCATCCCGCCCAAAGTCCTTTTGAGCATGGGTAGTCCATTGGGACTTGGGACAGATTGCCACCTCTAACTATTATACTCCTTTCATTATTAGTTTGATATTTTTATTTTTATTTTTCATCTATTCTGCATTATAGTCTAAGAATATAGTTAACTTGTAATTTCTCTAAAATATTCTTATTATTGTACTTTATCATCAATGAGTAGATTCATTAATTACTTGGATTCATGTCTTCAATGATTCAACTTTTTATAGAATTGTTATTGTAATTAATGTAAAAATATAGTGATTAGACATACACTTAAAATTAATGTAAAAATATTTTTAAAAAAATAATAGATTAGATTTATTTTTTTAAATTGTATTTAAAAAAATCAGAACTATCAAAATAGATGGAAGGAGCATTCTCCTGTTTGGAAAAAAAAAAAAAGTCTTGCATGATCAAAATTAATTAAGATTAAGATTGGTTCCCCTGTCCCCATCAGCTTGAATCTCCTACCACTCTGTACTTGCTTCATTTTAAAGTTTCGCGAAGACAGATCACTATTGTTGAATTTAATAAGGGAGAGCTAATTTTTGGTGTCCTATGTTACTAGCTGGCTCAATAAATAAGCTTTCATCTCAAGTGGCAGACGACAACTTCTGCAGGAACATCAGTCACAAAAGCTGGTAAAACACAGTACTACTCTCATTATATCTGTCCATTGTGGGGTTCCGTTGATTTCCGATCAAGTAGAGCTTGCTTCTACAGATCCATTTCCTAAATCCATACATCAAATTTTTCAGCTCAAGCCAGAAATTTATATCCGCTTTTATCTCTTCTTTTCTCTTTAGTTTTCAGGGAAAAAGAAAAGGTCAAAAAAAAAGAAAAAGCGAAGAAGAAAATAGGATCTCCATGAGACCCAAGACTCAATACCCCACCGGCCTTAAGCTCATTTTGATATGCTTATTAGGTCTTCTCCTTCTTTTCTTGGTGCTCAGATCAAGTTTCTCATCATCTCAGCTTCAAAATTCATCTCTGATTTCAGCAATTTATCCATCAAACATCATTGCATCATCATCATCACCAGAAACTTCTCAAGAACAAAGCCAGTCGAGTACTGCTACTACTTCCAATGATTGTCCCCCTACAGAAACTCTAGTTCCAACTTGCACCAAAATCTCACCATCTCTAGCAAATGCAATTGTCCATTATGCAACCTTAAACATCACACCCCAACAAACCTTCAAAGAAATCTCTGTTTCCCTACGAGTACTGGAGAAAAAATCACCCTGCAACTTCTTGGTCTTCGGATTAGGCCACGACAGCCTAATGTGGACGGCCCTCAACCACGGCGGCCGCACCGTATTCCTCGAAGAAGACAAGTCCTGGATCGAGCAGGTCCAAAGACAACTACCAAATCTTGAATCTTATCATGTAACCTATGATACTAAGGTAACTCAAGCTGATGAGATCATGGAAGTTGGGATGAGAGAAGACTGCAAAGTGGTGGGTGATCCGAGATTTTCTAAATGTGGCCTTGCTCTGAAGGGGTTCCCAAGTGAAGTTTATGATATGGAATGGGATTTGATCATGGTGGATGCTCCCACAGGGTGGCATGATGAGGCACCTGGAAGAATGACTGCTATTTACACTGCAGGATTGATGGCTAGGAATAGAGAAAGTGGTGAAACTGATGTTTTTGTTCATGATGTTGATAGAGACGTGGAGGATAAGTTCTCAAAGACTTTCTTGTGTGAAGGATACTTGAGAGAACAAGAAGGAAGGATAAGGCATTTCACCATTCCTAGCCACAGAGCTCGTTTAGGTAGACCTTTCTGTCCATAGATCTCCATCCCATCTCTCACTCTTTTAAATTTCTTTTTTTTATTATTTGGGTTAATTGGGGGCTATTTTGCGTTGTTTGAGAATTCACGAATTCCACTGTGGATTGAGGGAATGACAAATCAGGGGTGGATTTCATGGAATAGCCAAAGCATTTGTGCTTTACCCATTTGTATGCATTCGTTTTAATTTGCCTAATAATTAATAAACATATACGAATTCTTTCTATTTTATTCTTTTGAGCAGCATTAAGGTGGATGAGTTTTTGGTTTTCTTGAGGGATTTTTAGTTCCTTTAAGAATTTCAATTATCAAGTTTTTTTTTTTATTGGTTTTAAATCTGGCTGTCTTGAATGACATTATTGTTCAAAAGGCAATCATGGTGATTTGCGAATTTTGGTAATTTTTTAGAAGTTGTTATTTACTCGTTAGTTCTATTTGACACTCTACCTGTTTCTACCTAACGAGCCAAAGATGATGGGATCGTGTCTTATACGATCTGCAACAAATGTTAGTTCACCTCTCCCCAACGACCCCTCCTTTATTGTCTTTAATTCTAAAGGAAAAAAATAAAATTTAGAAAACATGACCAGTCTAGACCTGGCTTCAATTACAACGAAAATTTTCACAATATGGCCTGTAGAACTCGAAGTTTTTTGGGCTTGAAAAATTGCAATAATATATATATATCTTGCCAAAGAGAAGACACTAAACTATACTGTTGGTTTGTTTGGATTGGTCTTTATTTCCCTAAATATATTTGCTTACATCATCATTACAATTTCCAACACACCTTTTTACCTTTTCAATTACCTTTTTATCTCACATACATCACATCACAAAAAGTGCTACAGTAAAAATATCTCAAATAACTTACAATCCAAACAACTAATTAGATGTATCTTAAATTTAAACTCTAGGGAGAGTGTTTGGATAGGAGATTATTTGAAATATTAATTGAAATAATTACTGTAGCACTTTTTGTGATGTGATGTATGTGAGATAAAAAAATAATTAAAAAAATAAAAAAACGTGTTAAAAATTGTATTTGTGATGTAAGTAAATAATTTCTGACCATTATTTATGTGAATCTGCGTTGTTAATCGAATGTGCTGAATCGCAAACCGATCAGGTATTTAGTCCGAGTAATAGTTAAAACCCACTGTGTCAAAATTTGGTCAAATCCGCTTTTTGTCTATCAAAGATTAGGTTCAATCAAGAATTGGTAAAAGTTGATAATAAAAAAAAAAAATAGATTTTTTTGATCGGGATCAATCAAGAATCGGTAAAAATCGATTTTTTCCCCCATTTTGCCTCTTTGATTTTTTCCCCCCTTTGACTGTTCCAAACGAACCTTCACTGATTTTGCTTTGCTAGTAGCAAGAAGCATTTCCTCCATTTTTGTGCTGATTTTTTTTTTTTTTTTTGTGCCTTCTGACTTAATTGCATCCGTTACTACATAACCAAACAGCAGCCTTGGTGCGAGTTTGTCTCCATGTCCTTGTCTCACAAAGCCACCATGACAGATAAATCCTTAAGATCAATAAGAAGAAAAAAAAAAGAGATAGAGAGAAAAGAGGAGAGAGACATTAAACAAGAGAGAGAAGATTTCATAACTTTGTGTGCGTGTATGTGTGAGAGGGTGTGCGTGATTTTGTTAAAAGAAACTTACTGATAGCTTGGAGTTGCAAGGACATAAGAAAATCACAAGATTTGGGCTTCATTATTTAACGGTTTTGAGTGCCCTAAAAACTTTTGATATTCTACTTTGACCAACTAATTCAAGAAATTATAAATTGGACCATAGATATTTAAAAAAAAATGTTTCTAGCCCTAATTTCTGGAATTTTTGAAAATCAATTATTTGCATTAGTTATAAACTCATCAAATAAGTTGAGTCAATGGTAATTTATATTTGTTTTATTTTATGGATAATTAAAACATGATGATATCATCCGATTAGATTCCGACTCAATCGATAGAATTCATTGATCTCGAATCTTTGATTTTAGCTAAGTCAATGTCCGATCTGAGTTTAAAAACATAACCACAAAGTAAAATAGCAGTGAGAGTACATAGAGTGTGAAGAGATCTTTTACCAAATGAGAGGATTGATTATTTATGGCCAATCAAATAGAACCCATTGCTAAGCAACGTTTGTAGAATTCAGAAACATGGTAGAGGCAGTTGCCTAAAGGTTGGCAGCCATGATTTGACTTAAAAAAAAAATGTAAGAGCCAAATCACATTTTATAAATCAATTTTAAAATCATATTTGAGTCCTATGAATCTCGAACAAATGAGGTTACCTCTTGTACGTTTGAATAAAAATTGCCCCAACAATTTTCCCGGTTGGTAACAATAGTGTTTCATCGGGGCATGTCACATATGGCAATAAGTGTCGAATTCGTACAGTGTCATGGTCTCGAATTGACATGTAAATGCGGTACAGCTACATCTCTCATTAGGACGAGCTTGAGGCAATGACTAGGATGATGGGGCATGCGTAATTACAATCGTCGGTCAACAAAAATTTCCCACAATTTTTTTTTTTTACCGTCAAGCCAAGTACAAATTAGCCTAATTGAATTTGCATGACATATGATTCAATTGCATGTCCGACCTTGAGTGAGGATCGACATTGACAAATGGGATGGTACAATTTTGAAAAAGAAAACTGACGAAATTCTGTAATTATGGCCAAAATCAAGATAGAACACAAGAGGAGGTTTTTTTTTTTTTTAGTCTATCCTAATCTATGGGGGAGGGGGAGCCCAAGGAGGCTGGGGAAGGGGGTAAGTGGATATATAGACTCAACTAAATTAAAGGAGTGCTATGATACAATTCTTAAATTTTTTTTCGCTGCAAGTGAGGTTTGAATTCTCACCTACAGCCCAAGAAGGGACTTAAGCCTCTCTCTCTCTCTGGTGGCCACTGCGCTATCGGCCCAGTGGTTTAGAACACAAGAGGAGGTTAGTTAGTGTGATTTGATAAACACATAAAACAATTTGATATGTGGTCTTGCGTTGAAGTTAATATATACCAAACGTCATCATTCATATATTGACAAAGTTTAAGTGCGATTAGATTTGTTGGCAACTGCAATAATAATAATACAACTTTATTTTATGCCTTTCTTTCAAACCACTAAAGTAAGGGGAAACTATCTATCTAGATTTCCACCTCGCATAATTACAAAGCTTAATTTCAAATCTTGTCAAATCATGACTAACAACACATTTTCTTCCCTCTTAATAACAAAAGAAAAGGTATAATGACAATAATGTTTTGATATCTCTAACCACCGGTGTCCATCTGGGTTGATTTTGTCAGCAGCAACACTTGCACAATCCGAGGCAGGAAACTTGGATGGCTGCCTAGGTATTAGTAGTATTGTTCCAGTGCAAAGTAAACCTGCTCTGACTGCAAATGCTTCGATCAACGCTCCTTTGCTCTAAAAGGAATAGCCGGCCCAAGTAGCTGCAAGCATCCCAAGGTTTGATTCCAGCCAAGCCACCACTCCAAGTCCAGATTTTCTTCTACATTATTGATCCAAAGCTGCATCAGTATTTTTTGCGATGATCTAATTCATTTTGGGATCTAACTTGTTGTTTGCCTGGAGGGAATTTTTTTGTTTTTGGAGGGGGAGGGGGGGGGGGGGTTCTATCAAGTCCTCCTCCCATGATCCTTGTCCTTGCTAGGCCTCCATGGGTTCTACCATTCTTCCACAGCTTTCTTGGATATGATATACAACCTCGGCATTGAAGAATTTTTTTTTTTTTTTTTTTTGGCATAAGATATTACCAAAATTGCTCAACAACCAGAATAAAGGCGTGCCTTACCAAGATAGGATCAAGCTTCTCTTGACCTAACTAATTAAACCAGCCTTATGACCCAAGAAACAACATCATCATCGTCGTACTACTTGCACTCAAAGGCGCGGTCATCAGTTTGGTTAAAAATCGCAGACAGCTCAAGCATCTATATATTTGCAAGTGCGGGTGTGACATCAAAGGCGTGGTTTGTGAAGTTAAACCTCCAGAGTTACGTACGTACGTGGACACCAACCTTTCCTTAAGTTATGGAATAATTGTGTACACCACCGCTTTATTTTCTTGAAATTACATTGGCTTTCTCCCAATTATGTATAATTCTGTTTTACTACTCCCGCTGTCTCATTTTTTTTGTTGCTTTTTGAAAATCCTAACTTTTTAACAAAAGTGTTCTGACTGTGATATTTATATTTTTCAAAATTCAAATTTTAAATTTGAATGTAATATATATATATATATTTATATATGAATAAAAGCAGACATAATATCGAGAACAGAAACTAGAGATGGTTTTAACTTTTATAATACGATAAATATTTTAGAATTTTCGAAAATGAAAAGCACGATACTTTTATGAAGAAAATAGATACTAATCCAATTGGTTTTAAAAAATAACTTCTTCATTTTTGACTCGTTAAAAATGCATACACTAGGGCGATACAAAACAAAATCACAAAAAAAAGTAATGATTGAACGAATTTCAAAAAGTGAACGAAACGAGGTCGTATCAACAAGGTAAACAAATGGAAACGACGTAGTTCCCTATCCAAAGCCAGCTCCTATGTCTATTGTCGTCGACTCGATACTTGGGTCGCTTGCGGTGCTCTGCAAAGGCTTTTTCCTGCTTTGCTTTTGAGTTTTCCATTTCCAACCAATATGGGGAAGAAAGAGCTGCTGAAGTCTGCGCCATGGAGGGTGGAGGAAGAGCAAGACGATAAATTCAAAGACGCCAAGCTAAAAGTCACCAATCAGCCCGGTTCAACTCCTATTATGCACGTCCCCGGCAAGAAGCTTTCCAAGTCCAAAAACGGCGTCGCTGATGACGGTGATGATTCCCTCACTGAAATGGACCCTGAACTTCGTTACAGCTTCCAGCGTAATTTCCAGGTTAGCCCATTTAGTAGAAATTCCTTTTTGAAGACCCTTTACAATTTCCTGCTGTTTGAATGCCGACCCAGATTGTAATTAGTGGCGAATTTTGTGTTCTTTGATGACCCAATTCAAACCGTTTGCTGTTTGGGGATAAAAGTTCATTTTTTTGGCTGGAGCCTACAACTTTTACTGCATTTAGTACGACATGTTGATGCATGTGTGTGTTTGTGAGTTTGGGGTTGAGTTTTTTTTCTTCCTATTTTTGGCTGTAAATAGTGGCAAATTTTGTGCTTTTTGATGACTTGTTTGA